TGTCTTCCGTGGAAGAAGTAGAGTATGGGGATGGCTCACCTATCTCTGGGGGAGATGTCACTGAGGCAGTTAAACAACTCCTTGGTGGCAGAGCCTTGGGGGTGGATGAGGTCCACTCCCTGAGTTCCTGAAGGCTCTGGATGTTGTAGGGTTGTCTTGATTGACACGCCTCTACATTGTTGTGTGGGGATCAGAGATGGTACCTCTGGATTGGCAGACCACGGTGGCGGTTCCCATCTTTAAGAAAGGGGACCGGAGGGTGCGTTCCAACTATAGTGGGATCATACTCCTCAGATTCCCTGGGAAGTTTATGCCAGGGTGCTGTAAAAAAAAGAGTCTGTCCATTAGTTGAACCTTGGATACACAAAGAACAATACGGTTTTTGTCCTGGTCGCAGAACACTAGACCAGCTCTTTATCCTCCCAAGGATACTTGAGGGTGCATGGGAGTTTGCCCAACCAGTCTAAATGTGTTTTGTGGACTTGGAGAAGGCATTCGACCGTGTCCCTCAGAGTGTCCTGTGGGAGGTGCTTTGGGATTATGAGGTGTCTGCTTTGGGCCATTCAATCTTTATACAACTGTTGCAAAAGCTTGGTCCACATAGCTGGCAATAAGTTGGACTCGTTCTCAGCATATGATGGACTCCGCCAGGGCTGACTTTTGTCACAGATTCTGTTTGTAATTTTTCTGGACAGAATTTCTATTCATATCTAAGTGGTGAAGGCTTTCACTTGGCTGGTTGCAGAATCTCATCTCTGCTTTTCATATATGATGTGGTTCTGTTGGCTTAATCCGGTGATGGCCTTCACCTCGGACTGGAATGTTCGCAGCCGAGTGTGAAGCGGTGGGAATGAGAATCAACACCTCCAAATCTGAGGCCATGGTCCTTAACCAGAAAAGTGACAGGAGAAAAGAGCAGGAGATTGACAGATGAATTGGTGCTGTGGCTGCAGTGATACAGATGCTGTACCAGTCAGTCATAGTGAAGAGAGAGCTGAGTGTAAAAGCGATGCTCTCAATTTCCTGGTTGATCTATGTCCATACCGTCACCTATGGTAAATGGTAAATGGCCTGTATTTGTATAGTGCTTTACTTAGTCCCTAAGGATCCCAAAGCGCTTTACACTACATTCAGTCATTCACCCTTTTACACACACATTCACACACTTTCTCGTTTGGCTCTCAGCGGAGGCGGTCGCACTTTTCTCCTCTCCTCCTTACCCTTATCTTCCCTGCTTAGCCTCTCTGTCCTTGTCTGTCTCATGTGCATTATTCTTTTCCCTGGAACAGTCTCTCACTGTCGTTCTCTAAAACC